CCATTATAGTAGGTACCCATAATTTTGGGAAGCCCCCAGGTGTCAGCAGAACAGCGGCCCTGCCCAGAGCCCTGGCAGCATACGGCGGAGGCTGGTGTGGTGCCGATGGCTCAGTGGCTTAACCCGGACATCCAAGTCCCGAAGGTTAAGAAGGAGGACAGAGAGAAACTGGGTTGCTGTTAAGGAATTTACTTTTAGTTACCAGAATGAGTATATGTAGAAATACCCTAAACCCTAAACCTAGATTAAGTTCCTTAACAGCAGCCCAGGAAAGAGAGGCCTCTCTCCGGCAATGCCCAGCTGGACTTAGCGGTCACACTCTACGGGATGCCTTTGGAGGATGTTGTGGAGTCTGAGGAGGAGGCCCCACCAGCCGCCAAGGCCAAGGCCAAAGCCAAAGGCAAGAAGTAGTATCAGGTAATGAAATAGTAGTTTCCATCCTAGTTTCCATTAATTATCCCAGAACAACCCCTATATAACCCTACATAATATAGTAGTTTCCATCCTATTTTCCATTATCCCAAAATACCCCCAAATATAAGTCTTATATTACCATATCTGCCAAAGCATTGCCTCAAAGGGGCACGAGCTTCAGTTTCACCGACGCAGCGGGACTTAACTCGCAGTCTCGCGATGTCTATTGCAACATCCCGGCGCAAGACCGGTCTAGCAAGAATTCCTGATAAACAATTGTGTCATAACCGACCTGTGACACACATGAGCTATAGTCTAAGCTCCTTAAAGGGGGTTAGTTAGGGAATATATAGGACACTACTATAGGGTGTATTAAGGGGGATACTAGGAGCTAAGACCTTAAACCCCAACCCCAAACCTCATTCAGTCGGGGTATCAAGGGGGATACTATCAAGGAGGATACTAGGAGTTTAGACTATAGCTCGCCGTACACAATGCTTGTTCCTTGTCGCACCGAGATCTGAGCCAGATTCTGCACTCATGCCTGTGAATTAGGCAAGAGCAGAAACAGAAGACTCTTGTATTATAGTAGGGTATACATTAGGTTATATGATGGAAAAGAAAATCGAAGCTGCTATAGTATAGTAGAGAGAGTATACATTGGGGTTATATGATGGAACACAGCATGGAGATTACTATATTATAACACGTATACATCGGGGTTATACATGGAAACTACTAGCATGGAGACTGCTGTATTATAACACGTATACATTGGGGTTATACATGGAAACTACTATATTATAATGAGGTATACATCAGGGCTATATCATGGAACACAATATGGAAACTACTATCTTATGATAGGGTATATACATTAGAGTTATAGAATGGACCGCAACATGGAAAATACTATGTTGTAATAGGGATCCTCGCGAACAGCCTGCAGATGGGTGGATTCAATCAGGATGCAAGGTTCACCTGGATCTACCCAGAAGGAGGGACTTGCATAGCATCCTGTTTGGGGTACCCTAATTAGGGCTTAGGGTTTAGGGTTTAGGGCCCTGGACTGGGTGCAGTATTGCAAAGGCTTCCTCAAGAGGGGCCACAACCTTCACAACTACCCACATGTCTAGAAGCAGATATGGTCGAAGCGCGCGTGGTGGGGGCCTCAGCCCTTATCCCTAAACCCTAAGGATTTGGGGTTTAGTCCCTAAACCCTTTTCCCTAAACCCTCAGGATTTGGAGTTTAGTGCTCAATGTCACGAACATGTTCGCCTGCAAGGGATGTGGGCCGCATAGGGTTTTCTAGGCTTCATCTGCGCTCTGTGGGAACCCTGCCTCCTGAAGCCTAGACCCTAAACCCCTACACCTGAAACCCTAAAACCCTTAAAAAGACATACATGAATATATATATATATGTATATATAGATATATCTATCAATACCCCTACACATACGTATATCGCACACACACACACACATATATATATATATATACACACGTATATATACATATATACATATACATACACATATATAATAAACCCTAAACCCTAAACCTTAAACCCTAAACCCTTCAAAGGGTCCCAGGGTTTTTTACCGCTCCCCCAAGGAGGCGCTAAGGCGCCTGGCTTCGGAAGATGTGGTGCCAGCTGTGCAGGAGCCTGGTTTGGGGGTTTAGGGATTTAGGGATTTAGGGTTTAGGGTTTGGAGATTTGGGGATTTAGGGTTTAGGGTTTAGGGATTAGGGTTTTTTAGGTGGTTAGGTCATATATACCCCTAATGTGGGTGCTTTCCCGAAATCAGGGGTCCATCGAGGGGTTATTTACGGGTTGTATGGGTTTAGGGTTTCCCAAAACTAGGGATAAGGACTATAGTATTCGAGGGTCTAGATTGGGGTCCCCCTTTTCAGGGCATTCGCCATATAATATAGTACCAGCGTATACTGGTGCGGAGTATTGATTATTAGTATCATCAAAGCCATGCACAGCCTCAACCCGAAGCCCTAAACCATGAACCCTAAGCCGTAAGCCCTAAACCCTAAACCTTGAACCCCCTAAACCCTGAATCCTAGAGGGTAGGGTGGTTCATTGTTAGGAGAGGGGAGGAGTCAGGGCTCGATGTCACATGGTCCTGCAGGAGGCTGTGAGGACTGTGACCTCGGGTGCCGAGGCCTGGGAAGATTCCACCTAAGTTATAGGTTGGGTACTGCGCCCTCCCAGTAACAGTCTATATTAGGGGTCCTATTAAGGGCTATATATATATATTATTATCCAACTTTTACTGGGTGGGGGCAGTATCCAAGTCATAGGCCAACTTGTTGTAGGGTTAAGGGTTTAGGATCTA